AGGTAGCGGAAAGATGTGAACTACTGCGTTGAAAGTCCAGTACCATTTTGCTCTCAGATCTTCGTCCGATTGTATGATCGGAGTTGGATCGGATAAATGTGACCCGGCCTTAATAAGGCAACATTCTAAGTAACACTTGTACTTGAATGCAAGGCCAAATTAGTCTTTTTAATTTAATAAAAAAGATTGGCGTTATTACCTTAATAATTGGATCATGTTGGAACATTTAATCAATTGTTTTACAAAAAAGCAAGTACACCATTGATAAAAAAAGTTCCACAATTTAAGTATTAATTTAATAGTGCCAACGTATGGCAATGTAGTATTGTAGTTGAGGGGGTTCGTATTCTTCTTTTCCCCCAGAAGATTACTAATGCTGTGAAGTTACTAATGTTCCTGATCCTTGTATTGTTAAACGTTTACTGGAACTTTGGATCATCATCAATGTTGAAGTTTAGCCTACTTTAGTTTAAACACAAAATAAGGTAATCACTCTCTGTTATTTAAGTTTTCTCGTTAAGGAAAAAATGCAAGCTTAGATGCAGGGTTTCTGTAAAAAATATGGTATGCTTTTTGCAAATTTGAAGTTTCGGCATCATAATAATAATGTTTAATTAAAAACACGATATGTAATATAAATTGAAATAACGTCAAAAATATCCAGAACTTCTTACCTTTTCCTTAACTGCACATAACTACTTTGGCAAATGATACGTTTAAATTTCCACAAGTAGTTTGTAGCTTTATCAATATTATCAATATTTTACATACCTTGTATTAGTTTAGGCAGACACAGCTGAAATGACTATTTATAATTAAAAACTGTTTGTAACCAAAAAAGCTCTTTAGTTTACCTTTACAACTTTATCTTGCATTACAGTCAAGGAGATTTTTAAGTGAACGTTTTTGACCTCGAAATATGTTTCCAAAACATTCACTTTAACTTCACAAAATGACTCCAATTCCCGCTCTAAGGCCCGCAAAAGTCGCATTGTAAATCACCTTCTGAATTTGTAAGCTTATATATTTAATTAGACGTCGGAAGCTATAGCTCGTTTTATGGAGCTTAGTTGCAACATTAGTGTATGTACTCTTATGAACAGAAGCTAACAGTGTTTAGATCGCTTTCCAAAGCGATGTAATATATCTTGAAATATCTTATCAATATCTTGAAAATTTGCTAATTCGATGTTTGATATAAGGCTTTGAAATATGATAGCACTTATGTTTTTATTAGAAATCCTTTCTCAAGAACTCATCAATGTTAATGCATCTAGAGGCAGACCTTTTTGATTTTTTCGCAATGCTTAAATTCATAATTGAATATTGTGAACATACCTTAACTCACGTATTCTGTCTGAAGAATATGATTGAATCCATTTTGCCCTTGCGCAAATGTATACATCGGTAGTATTTTTTATGGAAAGTTGAACTTTACCGTTCGTTTTAAATCGAAAAATTAACTCTACAATAATGAATATCAATAAATATGAATTGCACGTTCAACACTTATTATTAATATTTTGACGTAATAAAAGAAAATATTGTCTTACTTTCTTCAAAGGGACAATAAACATTTTATTTTTATGATAATTACTTAATTACTTTAGACAATTCAACCAAATTTCTGGAAATTAAATATACATATTATGTTTGCAACTTAAGTGGTAAAAAACGCACTGAATAACAGGTTTTTTATGTTTCGTGACGTTAATCACTTTTATTAGATGTACAGAGCTTAGCTGAGTCCCCATTTTAAAGGTACATATTTATTTTCCATTTCAAATTAAAACCTCTGATTTGGATCTGTTTCAACTAATTTGATATTCTACAGTTAATAAGCTTTGGAAAAATGTCGGAGGCTCTCATTAGAAACATACATTTGATTATTAATAATGGTCATTTTAAAGTACGGAAGTAATTCCCCATACGCTAGTATTATCTTTGCTGGACTGAAAATAAAGTATAGCTCCCTTGAGAAAGAATTTGGTCGTTCGCTCGCGCTGGATTTAGTCGCTATCACAACTTCCATGTTTCTGGGTCATTAAGGAATTTAGGTTCGCTTCGACAAACACTAAATTTGTCACTTTCAATGCTTAAATCGGGGAAAGATTAATGCATTCTAGGGTAGTTGGCCTAATTAGGCCGCTTAGGCTATATTGACCCCGTACGACGGAGTGGGATAATCTGGACAGCCATTGTTTTCACTTCGGCTTGAAAAGATTCCAACCGAAACACCATACATTTTTGTATGCGAAATACGATTTAAACCAAATGTTAGAATATTAATAAAAGCTTGTTACAAGTTGCTTCTAGTATACAGGGTGATTAAAAATTGGCGTCATTCCTCTGGAGATGTTGGTTGGCGCTGTTCTAGGAGTACAAAAATATAGTAGAAAATATTAATTGTTATTAAAAACTGAGGAAGTTGCAAAAAACTATATCAGAAATACGGCAGCAATGTTTTTCAAGGTAATCTGCCTAATTAACATTCCGCAAATACCTGTTGCTTCGCAATTCTTTAAAACTCCGGTAACTATGGAATTATACAGAGTGACAATAAAATAGACAAGGAAAAACGGCAAATTCAACAAGGTTTGTTGACTGCGGAACGTACTTTAGAAATGTCAACCTGTTCTCATAACCGCGAATGTTTATAAATAAACCATACAACACTAAACATTTGAATGGTTAACTCCAAACAAGTCAGTGCCTGTGTAATCTCCTTATTATCTACTCTTATCAAGCAGCTTCTCGTATTCAGTTAGTTAACTCCTGCTCCATTTGTATCTCCTTGTGCTGTGTGTATCGTACAAACGTGGTAGGAATGTAGCCCTTCCTCGTTATTTATTTGGTGCTTGGGGAAGTG